GGGATCGCACAGTCCTGTTTCCATACTGCCGGTATAAATACAGGCTCTCCGTGAGCGGCAGTCACCGCTGATTGACACCAACCGTCGTCATGCCCGAGCAAACCGCCAAAAGTGCGCCGAAGAAAGGCTCCAAGAAAGCCGTCAGCAAGACGGTGAGTAAGAGCGGCAAAAAGAGGAGAAAGACCCGCAAGGAGAGCTACGCCATCTACGTGTACAAGGTCCTGAAGCAGGTCCACCCCGACACCGGCATCTCCTCCAAGGCCATGAGCATCATGAACTCCTTCGTCAGCGACATCTTTGAGCGGATCGCTGGAGAAGCTTCCCGCCTGGCTCAGTACAACAAACGCTCCACCATCACTTCCAGGGAGATCCAGACGGCTGTCCGTCTGCTGCTGCCCGGGGAGTTGGCCAAGCACGCCGTGTCCGAGGGAACCAAGGCCGTCACCAAGTACACCAGCTCCAAGTAGACTGTCCTGCTCCTCACCCCCCCACAGCCCCCACCAACGGTCCTTTTAAGGACCACTCCACTACTTCCAAAAGAACTACAGTACTCCTGTAGAAACCTCAACTATTACAGTATTTTACTACACAATTATACAAGTATAACCTTAAGACAACAATGATCAGTCACAGTCTACATTACTGTGCTGAGTGTTAGTATGTGGATTAATACTATATATTAGATATAATGTCAGATATGTAGAAACTTTAGTTTTCTTTATTCTCTGGTTAAATCCATTCATTGACAGGTAAATAAACAACAGTAGGTGGGACTTCAGGTCTGATGAACCAATCCTGACCCAGTGTCCATGCATCTATATATTTGAATGTGACTTTTTAACATGAAGTAAATGATGAAATGATAAAGGACTGGACTCAGGTACCGATCTCTGAATCAACAACACCGTCAAAAAGAACGGAACTAGAAGTAAACTAGAACTAGTTTATTGTTTATCAAGAATTAACTAGTCTGGGGGTAAATTGCTCATTTGTTTCTTTATCAACTGTCTAAACACAGCTCCTCGTTAGTATAGTGGTGAGTATCCCCGCCTGTCACGCGGGAGACCGGGGTTCAATTCCCCGACGTTTCAAGCATTTCATTGCATTGTAGACTGTAGACCGTAGACTGTAGACCCTGTGTTGACATTCAAAAAAACCCGCTCTGTTTGAAATGTCAACACCCTGTTGATTGGACGAGTCAGAGCAGGTTAACCAATCAGTAAGCAGTGCTGCTGTATATAGAAAGGCACCGGCGGTAGCCCACAGTATTCTCCCAAAACATTAGAATCAGTCTACAACATGTCTGGACGAGGAAAAGGAGCCGGAAAAGCCCGCGCTAAGGCCAAGACCCGCTCCTCCAGGGCCGGTCTTCAGTTCCCTGTGGGCCGTGTGCACAGGCTGCTCAGGAAGGGCAACTACGCCCAGCGTGTCGGTGCCGGAGCTCCGGTCTACCTGGCTGCCGTGCTCGAGTATCTGACCGCTGAGATCCTGGAGTTGGCCGGAAACGCCGCCCGCGACAACAAGAAGACCAGGATCATCCCTCGTCACCTGCAGCTGGCCGTCCGTAACGACGAGGAGCTCAACAAGCTGCTCGGTGGCGTCACCATCGCCCAGGGCGGAGTACTGCCCAACATCCAGGCTGTCCTGCTGCCCAAGAAGACCGAGAAGGCTGCCAAGGCCAAGTATTCGAACCTGGGGCCTTCCGTCTTCCAAAGTCCGCTTCCTTTACCACTAGGCCACCACTGCCTCGTCACCATCATGTAGTAGTTACTGTGTAAAGACTTCTCTTCAACATCAGACCAAGTATTTCTGAAGTTCCAGACAGTGTTGAATTAGTCTTTAACTCTTGGTTGTCTTTAACAGAAATACATGAACAATAGTTACTGCTAGACAGACAGATAAACAGACAGACGGCACTTTATTAATCACTGACAATAGAAGGACACTGAACAGAGGGTTAGTAGGTTAGTGGAGGTAGATGGTGTTAGTAGTTTTAGTATTAGTAGATTAGTAGCTCATTGTTGCTGTGAATGGTGTTGATTACAATCTCAATTATTATTTATATTTCATATTCATGGCTCTTTTCAGAGCCACCAAACCTCAGTCTAAAGTTTACACCTCGTTGACCACCGACACGTTTAAAACATGTTCCTCAACATAAGGTTCTACAAAGGTTTTAAATACTGCTGTCAAACCTGTACCAACAGTACCACGGTGTAGATGCTGTGACGTCATCAACCTCCCTGCTCCAGTCTGCTCAGTGTGGACCGGACCAGAGCAGTACTGTGGTCCACTGTGGTCCGTGGACCCTGTAGCATTTATTACCTCTGCCACCTGCTGACCAGGTGTATTCACTCAGTCAGATGACGGGGATTCCTTCTTCGTTTGGTGCCACACAGTGGACAGACCGGGGATAGCAGGCAGAGCAGTCACTGACAGGCTGTTGTTTTTTTTCTTTATTGTATAAAAAAAATAAAGAGGATACAACGAACTGTGACCTCTGTTAATATCCCTCAGTGGTGACTCGTATTAGAGACGACTTTATAACTGCTGATATACTTGTTCACAGCATCTTTATAATTATACAAGCCATAGAGATAATGTGGTAAACATACATAATAATAATAAATTTTATTTAAAAAGCGCCTTTCAGGACACTTTACATAAAATAAAATAAAAACAGATAATAATTTAAAACAGGGCACAGAAACATGTTTAAAATCAGTGATAAACAAAAGCACAGAGGAGGGAGGTTAGAGGGAGTATGCTGTCCAGAACAGGTGAGTTTTGATTTTGGTTTCTGTTTGATTATGGATGGCCATGAAGGTGAACAGGAGAAGTTTGTAATTATATTAATTAATTATATATATGTATATTATATATACATATATTATACTAATTTAATTCAGAATAATAATAGTATATAATAATAGTCAGTAATCAACAGCACACACCATCAAATCACATATATTGTAACTATGACGAGTTTCAATCCCGTCACCAGTGAACGTTGTCTTTAAGATCAGAGTGGGGGGGGCTCTTAAAAGAGCCGTTGGGTCATGTTAGAGTCTGGTACCGTGTTTAACCGCCGAACCCGTACAGAGTTCGGCCCTGCCTCTTCAGAGCGTAGACCACGTCCATGGCGGTCACGGTCTTCCTCTTGGCGTGCTCGGTGTAGGTGACGGCGTCACGGATCACGTTCTCCAGGAACACCTTGAGGACACCGCGGGTCTCCTCGTAGATCAGGCCGGAGATTCGCTTCACGCCGCCGCGCCGAGCCAGACGTCGGATGGCGGGCTTGGTGATGCCCTGGATGTTGTCACGGAGAACTTTACGGTGACGCTTGGCGCCTCCTTTCCCGAGTCCTTTTCCTCCTTTGCCTCTTCCGCTCATGTTGACCAGTTGTGGGTGTTCGACGATAATGCCGCTCCACGGCGGGACGCTGACATATATAGTCGTTCCGCGGACGTGTTAGAGAGCGGATGCCCTGGTGTTGACGTCAGTCGGTTCACAGCCAGCTCCCGCGTTTCTGTCAGTCTTCAGTCAGAGCTGCACGCGTTCGACCCCGATGACGAGGAAACTGTATCCAATCACAGCAGAGAACTACATTTTGAATCTTGGCGGGTTTTTTCAAATCCATTAGTCTCAACATCACATCCATATAATTATAAATATACATAAACACACCAGAGATAATGTACTAAGTCAACATACAAACACACACATACAAACACACACACACACATATATATATATATAATGGTATAATTGAAATATAAATAATAATTGAGAATAATTGAGATTGCAATCAACACCATTCACAGCAACAATGAGCTACTAATCTACTAATACTAAAACTACTAACACCATCTACCTCCACTAACCTACTAACCCTCTGTTCAGTGTCCTTCTATTGTCAGTGATTAATAAAGTGCCGTCTGTCTGTTTATCTGTCTGTCTAGCAGTAACTATTGTTCATGTATTTCTATTAAAGACAACCAAGAGTTAAAGACTAATTCAACACTGTCTGGAACTTCAGAAATACTTGGTCTGATGTTGAAGAGAAGTCTTTACACAGTAACTACTACATGATGGTGACGTTGAGGAAAGGCTTGACTTGTGTTCTGAGGTTTGGTGGCTCTGAAAAGAGCCGTTGTGTTGTGGAGGTTGAGGGTTCGAGTCCAGGTCTACTTGGCCTTGGCAGCCTTCTCGGTCTTCTTGGGCAGCAGGACAGCCTGGATGTTGGGCAGTACTCCGCCCTGGGCGATGGTGACGCCACCGAGCAGCTTGTTGAGCTCCTCGTCGTTACGGACGGCCAGCTGCAGGTGACGAGGGATGATCCTGGTCTTCTTGTTGTCGCGGGCGGCGTTTCCGGCCAACTCCAGGATCTCAGCGGTCAGATACTCGAGCACGGCAGCCAGGTAGACCGGAGCTCCGGCACCGACACGCTGGGCGTAGTTGCCCTTCCTGAGCAGCCTGTGCACACGGCCCACAGGGAACTGAAGACCGGCCCTGGAGGAGCGGGTCTTGGCCTTAGCGCGGGCTTTTCCGGCTCCTTTTCCTCGTCCAGACATGTTTCAGTTTGTCAGTAGAAACTGAGAGAAGAAATCAACTACTGAGACTTGGCGCACCGACATCACTCTTTATTATCATTGTGCTGAGTGGCCATTGGTCAATGTGAGCGGCCATACTGTTATCCAATCAGAGAGAAGTAGTTACATTTGAATCTTGGCGGGTTTCAGCAAGAAACTGATTCAGCCTCAGTGAAGGGCAGTTTTATTTAAATAAATTAAGTTCCCTGATAAAAAATAATGTTAGTTAAATAAATCTTACATTTAAATTATTAATATTATCTTATTAATAATAGGAGAGCACTTAATTAAAGCCAGTGAACTCTGTTGACATTTACTTCAGTATTTAAGTGACATTAAGAGGAAACTGTTTGAGTCAGGAGAAGAATCCACAAATGTCAACAACAGTACTTGACAGTGTACAGGTGGACGTCCAGGTGAGGACACTTTGACTGTGTCTCACCTGTGTCTCCTGGTGATTGGGAATTCAGATAATTAGTTCTCCAAGGATGAACCAGTGCAGGAGAGGAAACACTTCCTGGAACGACACTGTCCCTGGTCCCTGGTCCCTGGTCCCTGGAGGCTGGTACTAGAAAGTGTTCTGGAAAAAGACACACTCTGACACCTGCTCCTCCTGGTTCTTGGAAGTTCAGTTCCTGGTACTGTTTGTAGTCACGTGTACTGAAACAAACTCCTTCTGATTCTTTTCCTCAAATCTGACAATTCTGTTGCAGTGGACAAACAGTTCCTGCTACTAAAGAACCTTTCCTACAGTGGAGTCACTCATGAGCAAACCAGTAGGAGGCGCTCCTTCTCTATCAGTTAGACAATAATTTCCAGCTCTGATTAAAATAAATCCTTTAATGTGTTTGCAAATGTCAGCAAATACACGATATATTTAAAGAATAAAGATAAGAAATGTAACAGACAAAAAATATTAAAAATGTTTTTGTTCACATGAAATAATCGGTGTTTGTAACTTTCTCCTTGTCGCATTAAAATAAATTAAATTCACAGTAGTTTTTCTTTGTCTTCATTGATGGTTGATTTGATGTCTCTTTGTCGTCAGTCTACGTTAGTCTGTGTAGACTGTTCTGTCAACGTCCCTCAGATACCACAGGTTTTGAAATGTCTCAGGAGACAGCAGCGCTAACAATGTCCACTTCCTGCATGGGTGGTCTTCTTCAGCTGATGATGAAGACTCGGGGTCCGTCCTCTCTCATCGGAGGAAGACTCTCTATCACCATGTTGTCCATAAGTTCATATTTGTCCTCTTTCTTGTATCTCCTTTCCTTGTTGACTCCTTGTTGTCGTCCTACATTAGCTGTCTCCTCTGTAGGCCCCTCCCCCTCTGGGGGCTTGGTCAGCTGACTGGTCAGCTGACTGGTCAGCTGCTTCATTGTCACCTGCAACACAAGACGTCACCAGAGAACGTTTGAGAAAAACAAAACAAAACCCAAACCTCTTCTCTCACATTAAAGTCCAGATAGAAAACCAGTGATTTTGGCTCACGAGGACACAGGAGTTGTTGGTCCACTACTGCCCCCTATGGTCATCTGTAGCGTTGTTATTGGGACGCTTATCAAAGGTAAATTAAATCTACTCCAGTTTGTGTTTACGACGCAGACTTTTCAACAGTGAACTCTCTTTTTCATTTTTTAAATGAAATTAAAAACAGTCAACTGGGAAGAGAAGCTACGTCACTACCTGCAGCTCTTTGAAAAGGTGGAGCATGGCCACGCCCACCACGATGACCGAGAAGGCGCCCACTATGGTGACCACGTCCACAGCCGCCATGCTCCTCCACTCCTGGAAGAGGATGATGGAGGTGGAGAGGACGACGGAGGTGAAGAGGACGTAGTAGATGGGGTAAACAAGCAGAGTGTTGAAGGTGTCCAGAGACTTGTTCAGGTAGTTCACCTGTGGACGCACCACCGCACCACCGCACCACCGCACCACCGCACAGAGACAACAGACAAGTGTTAGCTATGTTGCCTGGTAGCTTGCGGGCTAACACTTAGCTTCATGATGGTACGATCACAGTTTAAAGAGCAGTGATTTTTTTACCTGTGTTACTATGGAAACAAGGAGCGTGACCAGAAAGATCCAGCTGAGAGGGTGAGCGAGCACTGAAATGTCATAAAGGACTAGAGAGAGAGAGAGAGAGAGAGAGAGAGAGAGAGAGAGAGACATCAGGTCTTCAGTTGTTTGTCGGTCAAATATCACGATACAAAAACAAGAAGCAGAAGAAGAGTTCAGAACATCCACTCTGGGTGACATCACTTCCTCTTTCACTCACCCGTGTTGATGACGATGGCGAGGCCTTTCACCGAGGACACGGTGAAGGCTCCCAGCAGCGAGCAGACGCTGATGTAGACCAGGATGTTGGAGCCGCCAAAACGAGGCGAGAAATAAAAGATGAGCGCCACGCAGAGGAGCAGGACGACGGAGACGTAGACCAGAAAACCTGAAGGGGGCGCAGTCACCGTCAGCTACTACTGTACAGGGCTAACGGATACACGGGAGTACTAGTCTCACTAGTCTCACTAGTCTCACTAGTAACTCTAGTCTCACTAGTCACTCTAGTCTCACTAGTCTCACTAGTCACTCTAGTCTCACTAGTCTC